CCTCCCTAAGGGGGCTCCTGCTCCAATAGCGGTCAGAACTTCCATGCTGGGGGGAAGGGATAATTCTTACCTGTCTTCCTCTGCATACTATTGGCAGCAGCTGCTGCTGCTGGAATGGTAAGTAACCCTTTCTCTGCTGGAACAGAGCTGAAGTGCAGGCACCTGCTCCAAGTTAAATCTTCTGAGCTTGGGAATGCTGGCCAAATAGCACTCTTTCCCCCTCCACCCCGCCTAACTGCCCAATGGGTGCCAGAGACTCCAAGGATGGTGAGGAGGAATTACCTCGTGTTCCTCGGTGAGTGACTCCCTCCCTCCCTGCTGGGGCTGTCCTTCTCTGCCAGGAGCATCAAGTTCCCCCACCAGTTGAGGAGTGTGGCTGGCATTTCTGAATATTGAGTAATCGAATGAATGCCCACTCTACACAGTTTGCAAACATTCAGCAAGCTGAAATTATGTCTAGTAAACTATCACAGAATAGTTTTGAATATCAAACAAATCAGTAAAAATCATGATCTATTTGTGGACAATTTGTGGAAAGGAACCAAAGGGGATAAATTCATCAAATCAGAACAACTATTTGGCCTTCTCTATTCATGTGCCATTTTAAAGCCTAGTCTGGGAATAAATGAGTTGGAACAAACAAATGGAACAAAAAATTGCATATAAATATAGACCAAAATGAATGTAAGGAAAATAATGTGATTTTGACTACAAGACTTTTACCAAGCATTATATTTGAAGGGGGAAGAAAACTACCAACAATAATTTTCCTTACAATTTTATTCCTGATGAAAATGTCCAAGGCAGACCACTATTGCTAACTTTATTTCTATACAAGTGCCAATCTAATTTCCACTTTACCTAGAGGCATTTTGGACTGTGAATGGAAGGGGTGTGCTTTGACCAGTAAAGTGATTAACAATATTGCTTCATATTGAGTTCTCTTTTGTGAATTACAGATTGTTTTCCTCTCTATGTAACCAGAGCAAAGGGTGTAATCCTAGTGGGTTTGTGGAGTTCTGCATCATTTTCATCCACAGCACCATGCAGTTAATGTCATGGTGAACTGCTATTATCATTCAATAGGGTGCTTTAAAGTATCATGTTCTGTAGTGTGCAGCTGTTTAACCCGCCAAAAAACTGAGACTAAGATCCCACAGGTTTCCCCTTCCCACTCATCAATTTTAAGACACATTTTATGGCAGCTCTGTGAGGCTCAAAAGGCCCTTATTTTTTCAAAGAATAGTGGTAGTAATCACTGCACTTTCTCTCTGCCAGTTGTTTCTCTTTGCTCACCATTATTGATCAGCTAGACTGATTACTGGAATTAGAGATTCATAAATAGTTACCATCTTCAACTGCTGTCTGATGCAATAAAGATTAAAGAGATCAGAAGCTTTAAAGTCTGCCTGTTGGCTGAGTTTGAGAAGGATGACAAGTGCTCATACTGCAGAGAGACGCCTGGGCCTTGTGCCAAGCACACCTAAATATGTGGTCACAACAAAGGTATTGCAAATCAGTGCCTTTTGATGTATCACTTTTTTAATATTCTTGACCCTTTGACTCCATTTTGTTGTTTGAGTGATCAGAATGTTGTAACTTAATTGGATGAATCTGATGTGTGCATGGCAGGGCACTCGATGCAGTAAATCCTAATGACACCCCTACCCTCCCGTATTCTAGACTACTACTGTTATTTTAAGACTCAGTGTTTACTGTTGACTGCTGTTCTCCTTTGAAGTAGAAAAAGATAATCAAAGAGCTTGCCTGCAATCTGTGTGACGTGTTTGAACTCCATTTAGTAATCAAAGTTAAGAAATTGCCATAATCAGCTGATTTTTTAAAAATAGGCTGATACTCTTTTTAACATAATTTGGTTACTGAACTTGAGACACCTGAAGGGGCCTGATTTTCAGAAAGGCCTGTCCATTTACCTTCTGAAACCAGGACACCTTTAAAGTATCTCAAATTGAGCACCCAAAATTACTATTTACTTTTGAAAATCTTGGCCACATTGTCTTGCTTTAGTGGGAATAGCAGTAAAATTTCACAAAATCAAGGAATATACTATAAAAAGCTACCTCATTTTGTGATATAAAACCCAAAGGTCCCTAGGACAATATTTTACACTACTGTTATTCAAAGGCAAATAATTAGTATTTGTTTTACATCTCAAACATTTTATGTGATTTTTATGTGCTGTTACCGATGTTTTGGGTTTTTTTCAAATCACATTGCCTAACTTTCGAAACTAATAGAGCAGAATCTTGAAAGGTTCTATGTTCCTGTTGGAGACAGAATGAAGAAGAAGAAGAAGAAGAAGAAGAAAACAAAACAGTGAAGAGTATTGACTGTGGTTGAATTTTATTGGACTATGCTATTGCCTCATGATTTGAAAAAGTAATTGATGGTGGGATATAAGACTCAAAATAGGCTGGTATAATACTGACTGAAGGCGCTATTGCCTTCTTTGTAAATACAAGGGAATTGGCTCAAACTAAAATAGCCAATCCATATGTTTTATTATATTTAAAAAATGTTTTCCCCCTAAATATGCAGTCTCAGTTACCCATTGTTGAGGCTCGTCTGCAATTGAGTTAACAGAGTCATGTAACCCTCCAGTAACAGAGCTCTGGCAGTAATATGGTACCATCTTGGTTAAACTGTTAATTATTTTTAGTTTATTTTTTCCTTAGATTGCATTTTGAAATATGGTGTATAGATCACTTGAGGGTTACAGAGAGGAGGTGCTTACATTATGCTGGTACCTCTTCTCTCTTCTTGCTTCCTTGCTAGGTGTAATTCATTTTGTGCCTTAGCTTTTCTGATTTGTCTCTACATCTTTGTGCTGTTCCTCTGAACTGCTCCTTAGCAATTCATCCATGTTTTCACTTTTTTTAGGATTCTATTTTTATTATTATTATTTTAAGGTCATTAAAGAGCTTGTGATGGAGTCATATTCTTATTATTTTTGCTATATTGTACACAGTAGATAAAATGATAGAGATAGATGGGCGTCAGAAATCTCAGCCAACCATTTGATCCCAATTATCTCTCCATCCCTATAGGTTTTGCTCTAATCTGTATTCTTTCCTTTTCCTGTCCTAGTGAGCAGACTACATTTTTCAAGCCCTTCCAAAAGAGCAGACATCTCAGAAGAATGCTGAGTATGGATGCTGAAAAGGGCATACCAGCTCCATTAGATTACATTGGAATCATGAAAGCACAGAAAAACAGGAATGAAAAATGAGAGCAATTGTGAAGCTGGCTTTTTTTTTTACCACTCCCTCAGAAAAATATAACTCTTCAGGTTGAAGACTCTTATCCAAGAAAAAGGGAGAGGGAGAACAAGTGGACCATTTATTTCTGGACTACAATCTCCCAGTATGGAAAGATTACTTTTGTAGGCCACATTATCTGTCACATACACCCAGAAAAATCTTGCGGGGGAGGAGGAGAGATGGCATTCCTGTTTACTCAAGCATAGGAGTATCCTGGGATTCTAAACCTCATTCACTCCATTTCAGGGTTATCTACAAAGTATTCATCTTTCTTCTGTGCTTTCTTCTGTGAGTTAACAGATGTTAGGTAAATCTTAAAAGGGTTATGGTATCGTTAACATTTAACATTTCTAAAACCCTGCAACCATAATTAATGAAGTAGCGTGAATTTTCAGATTAAATAGGAAAGATTTACCTACTAGCCAACCAGAGTTGAGTGATTATGAAATCTGGACGAGTGTTGGTAAGAAGTACAACAGAGATAGACACAGCAGGAATCTACCCCCTGCTCCCTGCTGCTTCTTCTCCACTTTCCCCTGCTCCTGGCCTTCCCAGCTATGAAAGTCTGGTTGAAAGGTTAAGGTATTGGAACCAAACTCATAGCTTTTGTGTTCTTATTAGAAACAAAACTTTGGCCTCAGACCATTTGGTGATTCTGGACTGAGTCAGAAATACAACAGGAATGCTATAGAGGGTGAGTCGTTGCGTGTTTTTAGAGTTGTGGGATTTTATGGAGACACAAGTCTGTGGGGCCTGGTGAAAGGTTTGGGGAAATAGATGTAGACACAATAGTTTTCTAATTCAGTTTCTGATGTGATTTAGGCACCAACCCATCAAAGCACTTATGTGCATGATTAATTTTAAGCATATGAATAGTCCCAGTGTAATCAATGGAGTTACAGTGGTATGAAAACTAGTGTTTTACTATTGAGAGGAGACTACCTGAGAGAAGATTCAAGTCCAGTATGGTTAGTCATGGAGACTTTACTTTTATTCTTTTTTTATTTTTTATTTATTTGTCATAGAAAGCATTTTTAGACTTTAAAATAGGTTTTGCTCTTTGCATACTGAAGTGGAACATTCCCCATCCATTCTTTCTTGAGAGAGGGCAACCTCTCTCTCCAAGCCAGAAAGCATGAAGAGGTGAAGGGTTTTTGGTGTGTACTGTCTCTTCTACTGGGGAGGGGGGGGAAGATGTTTCTTAATGGATCCTTATTCAGGGAATGTGGGAGAGGAATTTGAAAAAGCTGATGACAGAACTTCCTAATGATCCAGAGATGACTGCAGTAGATGCTCCACTCCCAAGCAGAGCAGTAGAGGGCCAATCACTTCCCCTGCACACCTAGTGGTGTTATATGTGCTACTCTTATGTGAAAGACAGCACAGAAGCAGCACAACACCGCAAAAAAGACTGATTTTAATCACAGTCATTTTATTTTATTTGTTTTGGTGTACAAATCTCCTTTGTTTTTCAGAGTGACTCCAAGGACACAAATAACAGTCCATTAGGTCACAACTGGCACCTTGGATAAAGAAATTCATTCTAATAGTTATATATAATAATACTCTGTATTAACTACTGTAAATACTAACTTCAGCGTGTTGTAGCACTGTCGTATAATGTACTGTATAGATTTTTTTAAAATTACCCTTTAGCAAAATTTTATTTTTAAGTTGTTTTCTTGAAAGTCTTAATCTCTATTGATATTTTGATTACAGGTGCTGTTCTTATGTGGGTCGAAGGGGGAATGGTCCTCAGGCTATATCTATTGGCAAGAACTGTGATAAATTTGGAATTGTTGTTCATGAGCTAGGGCATGTGATAGGCTTTTGGCATGAACACACACGACCAGACCGAGATGACCATGTAACCATCATTAGAGAAAACATCCAGCCAGGTGAGACAATTTGATAAGGGTTCTTAGGTTATATTATTTCACTGTTTATTTTTGTTCTATTGAAGATTGTAACAATTTTTACACTTTTTAAATGAGTCTTTTCAATTAAAATAATTACAATTGAGATTTTGAGTATTCTTAGAAAATTCAACATTCTAATAAACTAGCCAAAATTAACATTTTTACATTTACACCATTCTTTTTATCTGGAGGGATCCCAAAATGATTCAAACTATATACTGTGTATACAGTACCACTAAAGTGTAATCATGTCTGGAGTGGAGAGAAACAGCCAAATAGACAGCCAGTTAAACAACCTGGAGGGACTCCAGGGAAAACCATTAGTCTTATGAAAAGAGCCGTGGGACCTTTCATGTTCATACAGTGGAGGCAGGACTGTGGTTTCATGGTAAAGATAAGTAAAATTGTGACAAGGCTTGGAAAATGAACTAAACACTAACAGAAACTGTTTTTGACAGAAAATTTAGTTTTTCTCTAAGTAACATTTTTTTGTGAGGTTTCAGAGTAACAGCCGTGTTAGTCTGTATCCGCAAAAAGAAGAACAGGAGTACTTGTGGCACCTTAGAGACTAACAAATTTATGCATCCGAAGAAGTGGGCTGTAGTCCACGAAAGCTTATGCTCTAATAAATTTGTTAGTCTCTAAGGTGCCACAAGTACTCCTGTTCTTCTATTTTTTTGTGACAAGTGTCTGCTTTATGTGGAAACATTTGCGTTTCCATCAAAAATCAAAAGTTTTCTGTTTTCAGTCAGAAAATGTTTGGTTTTTCAATGAAAAGTCAACATTTTCTGTGGAGGAGAACCTTTCCGACCAGCTCCATCCAATGCTTACTTGCCCTGAGTCTAAACCTATTCACCATGCTGACCTATACTGGTGCCTAAGCCTCACCCGCACCAAGCCACACCCCCTACTATATGTTCTCCTACTGATTATATACTACTGGGTGTGGGCCTGTTGGGTGAACTCAGTTCTTCTAATTAATGCTGCCCACTCAAATAACACTGGCTAACTTAATTCATGCTGCCTCCAATAAATGAGTACTGGGCCACTTCCCATACTCCTAAATAAAATAGTTAATGCTGTTTTGCTCAACAATAAAGTCATGCTGGACAGCATTCTCCCTACCCACTCATTAAATAAATATATGATCTCATTTCTATCACACACATGTTCAAGTCCATAAAGCCCTCTGCTGCAGTGGCACACACATGACTATGTACCATGATCATCCTGCAAAACCCTCTACTCCAGGTGGAAGAAGTAGGAGGCCCCTGCTTGACAACCCTGCTCCTTAAAAGTGACTTGTATGATAGTAAATTTACCTAATTGTGAAGTAGGGAGGTTGAGATTATCTTGTCACGATATAAACCTATGATTCCAGAGACTCTGTATTTCAAAGTTGATGTTTTAGATGCTAAAGGCCTGATTTTCAAAACTTCAGAAGCCCATGTTGACATGGAAATATGCCTTTGCAATTTTGCATCAAATTTGCATTCACAGTTATGATGATTGTATACACAAAATCAATACTGGTATGCAAATTGATATGCGGTTATCTGACTAGCCATTTATACTCCCAGATTTAAATGCATAAACAAATCAGGTTTACAATCTGGCCCATACCATTGAAAGTTTTATTCTTATCAAATGTTCTTTGCAATGCTTATCTGACCTATTCTTGTTGGAACCAGAGTTGGGCTACAGAAGCTGATTTTGGCCAACAGAGACAAGGACAGAAGAGCATCTCATAGAAGATAAAAATTGCTACTTCTGCTAGCATGCAAATACTGTACTTGATTCTACAAGCCTATGTTGCTGCCGATACATTTAGTTTTACAAATTATTCATATTTAATTCAGGTGAGTTCTTCATGGCACAGTAACAAGTTTGAAATACAAAATTATGTTTAAACTTCTGGGAGATAAAAATGGCTTTTGGTAAAATATAGATTATAGTTAACAAGCAATTTAAATTGGTTTATCAGCAATTTTCATTTTTATTATCAAATGTGGGCGATCATGCTGAGCATGAGAAGCAATGTAATCTAAAGGCTAGGGCTTAGAGTCAGGATGCCTGGGGTTTATTCTTGGTTCTGTCTCTGACCTGGGTGACTTTGGTCAAGTCACTTCATCTCACTCTGCCTAAGTATCATCATTTGTAAAATGGAAGTAATGATACTTAGCTGCTTTGGAAAGCATGTGGAGATCTACAGATGAAAAATACTATGCAAGAGCAAAGGGTTATATTTATTTATTAGCTATTCCAGTCACAACAGCAGAGCATTCTGCAAGAGACAACAGATGACAGCTATGCTCTAATCTAATTTTGTTGTCACTTCTTTTATGCCTAATACGCACTAGCAATATTTCATCCTTTAATTTGCCTTATAGCAAGATCAGACTGTTAGTTTCCCTCTCCTGACAACAGGTTGAGGCAGAACAAACTTTCATTGTCAGTTTCTTTCTCGCTCTGCCTCCCCCCGACACCTTCTATCCCCTTTTATAATATAGGTTGACAATCACTAATCAGATTGTGCCAGTCAGCAAACCCTGCCTACTGAAATCATTTATACTACTCACAGTAATAAGCAGAGTTGGGCCCATATTGTGAAAGGTATTTAGGCACCTAAAGCCCATTGATTTAAATGGGAATTAGACACATAATTATCTTTGAGGATCTGGGCTATATTCCTTAAGCAAAGGTTTGTACTAGAAGCGCAAATGTTGGCTTGCTCAAGGAAGGTCCCTACCTTACCTAACTTTGTCCTTATTGCTCACGCACTGATGACTTGATAACTTATGATTACTCCCTAACTTTTTCACACATGTACATAATTTTAATTATATTTGCATAATAATACATACATAATAAATACATCCTCAGCAACTTTTGCACATATTCAGGATTGACACATGTGCAATGTGTTATGTGCTTGTGAGGGTCGTATGGGGTTGTAATTAAAGTTTTGAATTGTACTGTGAGGGAGATGTGTAGTCTTTAGAGTGTTTCCTTAACAGTTGGAGTCGAGTTCCTTTTGATGATACAAACAGTCTGTTACTGTCAGTGGAAACATCCTGTGTGGTCTAAGAAGGGTGCTATAATTTGGCATATCCTAGCTTTTTAGGATTTTCACTGTGGGAGAGGGTGTCACAGTTAACCAACTTAAATCCCTTTTAAACATTTTCAGAATGGAATTATAATAGCGGATCAAGTCTTAAAAGAAATATGAAGATACAGATTAAACAGATATAGGATATTTTAGAGTCCTACAAAATAAATAGCCTAACAGGATAAAATCAAGAGAACTTATTTTTCAGTATTTGGGGTTTTTCTGCTTTCATCTTCACAGTGCTTTTGTTTTATTTGTTAACCAATTGCTCAGTGTTTGTGCAGCAGTGTTTTATTTTGCTTTTAGTGCCTTATTTTACCAGATGGCTTGGGTAAAAGAAGAATCTAAATTACACAGCTCTTAAAAACGCACAACATAACATGCAGTTTCGAAAATCTCTTTAAACTAAGCCAGTCTCATTATGTGATAAATATTGCACTACATGCAACTGATGTAAGCTAAGAGTTAAAGTTTGTGCCCTGAAAAAGCCATTGTATGATTTCTTGGTCTTAAAGCAATATTTAAATATTTTAATGTGTGGTGCAATGAAGCTGTTAAGATTCCCACCATACTCCTTGGAATGGGACTTTGAGCAGGACTGGCAGGGAACAGACACATCTCATGGTTCTTAATCTGAAGGGTTGAAAGAGGTTCAGACTCTTCTCCCACTACCCTTTGAGTCCACACATTGCACATATGCTCTTCCTTACTTCTGTGTGCTGCATCCTGGATGCCTATGTATGCTAAAAGGGGTTGGGTGCAGTAACTGCTCCTTGTCCTCCTTCAGGCTTTGCCTGTGATTGGTGGATTCATGTCACAGGGAGAACTTGTTGCCACCCAGACCTGTATGTGAATGGGTACAGTATTTACCTTCCTCCTGGGTTGGGACTGCCATTCTCAGGCCACCCGCCCTTCGCCTTGCAAGCTTCCACCTTCCTCCCTAGTTCCTAGATGAAGCTGTTAATGCCCTTTCTTGTCAGACCTTTTGGGCTTAGTCTTCAGTAATTGGAGTCAGAAAGGCATTTCCATCAAGAGGAAATTGGCATGTGCAGTGAGGGTGTTTTTGATTTTCTGTTAGTGTCCAGGAGGTTTAGCCAGTATTGTTCATTAATGTAAGTAACAACTTTTGGCAGGAGTCCAGTGGATTTGGGTTTGAGCAAAGACCAGTTTGCATATTTGTATACTGACATGGACCAGTGGCTTTGGGCCAGGACCTGAGGTTGCTGGAAGGGCTGGAAGTGAGCCTCTACTTTTTACACAGATCAGGGCATCTCTCACATGTGTCCCAAACAGTTGCATAAGGTTAGGGTGGGAGGGGTAGTTGGAAGTTGGCCCAAATAGCTGTTGTGGTAGAAGGGGACTGAAAGGGTAGCCTCTACTTAAGCAAAGTCACTTTGGTAGCCAGCCTGAGGAAACCCCACTGAACAGCTATCTCAGGGGTGGGCAAACTTTGGCCCGAGGGATCTGGCCTGCGGGATTTCCCCCCGTGGGCCCGAACCCCTCCTGCACCCCACCCTCCAACTCCCTGCCCTAATCTCCCTGCCTGCACCTCGCACCCCTTCCTGCACCCCAACCCCCTGCCCTGAGCTCCCTGCTCCACCCTGCACCTCTGTGCACCCCAACCCCCTGCCCTGAGCTCCCTGCCGCACCCTGCACCCCTCCTGCACTCCAACCCCCTGCCCTGAGCCCCCTCCCACAGTCAGTACCCCTCTTGCACCCCTGTCCTGAGCCCCCTCCTGCACTCCGCATTTCTCCTGCACCCCAACCCCCTTCCCTGAGCCCCCTCATGTACCCTACACCTCTCCTCTGCCCCAATCCCTTTGCCCTGCACACTGCACTCCCTCCACACACCCCGCACTCCTTCCCGCACCCCAATCCCCTGCCCTGGCCCTGCATACAATTTCCCCACCCTGATGTGGCCCTTGTCCCAAAAAGTCTCTGCTGGGCTGTTTGTGATGAGGTGGATTTTTTTCTTCTACCATTGATGGCTAAGTTAGTGAATGTTGTGGCCTCCACATTTGTCATAAGTTGGTGTTCTGTCTCTTATTCACTTATGGTGCATAGGTGAATGAAACAGCTAATTTATATGTATAGTAGAATAAAGTTAGTAGTGGGTGTTCTAAGTGCATGGATCTTCCTCCCTTCATCCAGTTAATAAAATAAGTTAACTATTCTAAAGATTAGATTCACTAAGATCCATGAGTTTCTGTGAATGGCATTGTAGCTCTTTTTCCCCTTCCCCCACCTTTATCAAAAGATTCATCTGAGACTTTACTTATGACTTATTTGTAGGTCAGGAATACAACTTCCTGAAGATGGAGCCTGGAGAGGTGAACTCCCTTGGGGAACCATATGATTTTGACAGCATTATGCACTATGCCAGGAACACCTTCTCAAGGTTGGAGTCTCAGGTTATACCTTTTGACTTTTAATTCCATTCCTGTGTGTGAAAACTAGGAACCATAGATTTAACAATGGCATTTCCAGAACAGCTTTAAAATATTATATTCCTTCAGCAGAAAGTGTTCCAACAGAAGTCAAAACACAGCTTGTTGGTTTTCCTTAAATCCAACTACGTAGGATAATTTGATTATTTTTTAGAAAGACATTGCTTAATGTCCCCACATGATATTCAATTTCAAAGCAGCCTTTAATCTTGTTTTAATTTATATTTAATGTAAAGATAACCTGGAAGCCTCATTTCATAATAGTTGTCTATTATTTTGTAAAGCCTCATATGCTGCAAAAAAATTAAATTTAGAAGAATCAAGCACATGAAATATTTAGGTATGTGTTCCTTTCTCTACGAGTGAAATTCACTTCAATACACAAAGTCTAAGTAATTGTGTACCTCTGTGGGTGTAGTGAGTGAGATGTAAGTCTGGAAAATGTACCCCAAAAACCAGGGCCATGGGAAAGGGCTGAACTAGACTAGAGACCGCAGCTCATTCTGTGCTGTTCGTGGTGTTAGTGGCATTAGAGCCACACAATCAAGAATCCCATTCTTCCCACACTGGGTGCTCCCACATTGCTGCTCCACTGCTGGTTATCCTTGCACAGCCTGCCTATGTAGTTTGAGTGTGGGGAAGGGTCTTTCACCCATAGTGCTGATTATATTTCATACCCTGTAGCTCAGCCACTAACCACCCTATATAAATGTTATCATTGTAATGCCAATAGACCCCACAAGGCTAAAGTCTGTGGAGGAGGATTCAGGTTCAAGTCCCTGCTCCATCCCAGACTTTGTGTGAACTTGGGCAAATTGTGTAGCTGCTGTATACCTCAGTTGCCCATCTGTAAAATGGGAATAATAGTATTTTCCTACTTCACGGGGTACTATGAGGATAAATACATTAAGATTGTGAGGCATGCAGATATTACGGTGATGGAGACCATATATGTTCCATGAATGGATGGATAAAGCTCAATGATACAGGAGACAGAGCTTTCTCAGGGGCTGATCCAAGACTATGGAATGAACTCTTACATGCACTAAAGACCATCATCAGTCTCACTACTTTTCACTATAAGTGCAAGGAACACTTTTTTGACCTGCCTTCTCTAATATAAGCACATAGCAGCATGTACATTTAAAAAAAACAACCTACCAAAACAGAACACTTCACACACAGTTCTCCTCCAGGAAGAAGATGAGTGTGGGAACGAAACACACATGATAGATGTTGTTTAATGCACTACTAGAAGGTGCTCAAATGCTACATTGAGGAAGGTGGTGTAAGAAGTTTTATAGAAGAGAAAAGAATAACCATAGTCTTAGTGCTCTGTAATGACTACAAAATGAGGATTTGGTTTCTGATCCTAGTCTCAGATGCTCCAGGCTGGCAGAAACTAAGAGTATGTCTATACTACCCGCTGGATTGGCAGGCAGCAATCAATCCAGCGGGGGTCAATTTATCGCGTCTAGTCTAGATGCGATAAATCGACCCCCCGAGTGCTCTCCTGTCGACTCCTGTACTCCACCGCCGCGAGAGGTGCAGGCAGAGTCGACGGGGGAGCGGCAGCAGTCGACTTACCGCAGTGAAGACACCACGGTGAGTAGATCTAAGTACGTTGACTTCAGCTACGTTATTCACGTAGCTGAAGTTGCATAACTTAGATCGATTCCCCCACCCCCCAGCGTAGACCAGGCCTGAGAGTGCTATAGGGAATCGTATTCTACCCCTAGGCAGAAGAGAGTGTTTTGTATCACTTACAGAAGCCCCTAAGGCCCATAAGGGGGAGGGGGAGTCCTATTCAGTGTGGAACTTTAACATCTGTTAGTAACTAGGATTTCCTTTAGCCACCAGGACCAGGTCAACAAAGACCACAAAACTTCATGAAGTAATAGCCACAACATATAGATAAGTGTTAAGACTATCGAGGGCTTGTTATTTCCATAAGCCTTTTTAAGGTGGTGCTGGAGAATGCAAAAGAGGAATGATTTCTTATTGTCCAAATTTTAAATTCTATTGATTGGTCATTTTCAGGTTATGCCAGTGGAAAAATAAAATCATAGTTTTTTGTTACAGTTGCTGTTTTGTTTTACAAAATCCTACTTTGTTCCTAGAAATAGTTATTCAGATGGTCAGTTAGTAATATGAACTGTTTCTTCTAATATTTAAAATAGACGTATTTCCTGCAGTCTGTCTTTATGGAATAATCCCAGTGATGTCATGGGGAGTTTTATGTGTGCAATGACAGCAGGATATAGGACAAACATTCAAAATGGCCAGTTTAGTGTACTTCAAAAAGCAGCCTCTATTCCTAGGCTCGGATTTCTGCCTTAGCACTGAGTATTATGAAACAACATTATGCAGTCAATACTGATAAGTGGTAATACAAGATTTTAGCTTTCAGTGTATGTGCTACACGTATAAATGAGTATCAAAGATAAGAAAGAAAATCTAGCAAAATTTTTAATAAGTCCAGTGATATCACATCAAAATTCAAAGGTTTTCAGACTCTGTAGCATGTTAATGGAACATATTTCTTTGTTCATATTGCTCCTCATATTAATTTAATACTGACATAATTAGCTCATAAAAACTCAGATTTAAATAATATCAGACTTAAACCCACCAAACCAAGGACATTCTGAGATGAGATTAATACCTAATTTTGCTCTCTGTTACATCAGAGTCATTTGGAGTAATTCTGCTGAAGTCAAATGAGTTAGCATGGATTTATATCATTGTAATAGAAAGTAGAATTTGGCTCACCATTCATGTCTTAGCAGCAGAAGGATAGCTCAGGGGTCTAACACACAACAGAAGAATGATCTTACTACCTACCCTTACATTGAAATAGCTTAGCACAGTTTTATGAATTAAAGATGCATTGGCAGCCTTAATTCTGAATTACCCTGCTTTTCATGGATGTAAGACAGACCTTTAACACGTCCTTGAAATTTCATTCGGAACAGGGACTTCGGAGGAGGAATTTGACAACAAGGCAATGTGTAATTGTTCATGTTGTTGCCAGGCAGACAAAACAGATTAAGCAAACAACAGATCCTGTCTTCAGTGTGACAAGTACTAGGTCCCAACCATCTTTTCCCATTTAATTTAAATTTGAATAGGAAATTTCTGGGCTGTTGTTATTTATTTAAAATACAAAATTAGTTGCCAGTTTGCATTAAAGTAAGAGTATTTTCTAATATCAATGCTACTGTTTAAGCCATTTTTTCAACTTGGGGAATTTTTCTCTTCCATTCACTTTTTCTTTTCTTCTTTCATATTTTGCATTTAACCTTTTAAATTATGCCAAAATATTTATTATTTATAAAATAAATATTATATAATATAAAAACACGGATAGTTTAATTAAAAAAAATTGCTAAGGTTTTATGAGTCGATTTTTGTTGTTTTGCCTTTTTTAGGGGTATGTTTCTGGACACCATTCTTCCTTCCCGTGATGATAATGGTATACGACCTGCCATTGGTCAGCGTACTCGTCTAAGTAAAGGAGATATTGCACAGGCAAGAAAGCTGTACAGATGTCCAGGTATTTCACCATAAAAATACATACACACACAAAAGCACGTTTTACTATGTTGTTTAAGAGAAATAATATATCTTTTGAGTAGGCCATTTACTAACCCATTTCCATGCTGGCAAGTGATGTGTACAGTTCAGGAATCAGATCATAAAAATGTTGTGTAGGTGAGGACTGTGGAATGGAAAGCATTTACGTGTAGATAAACTGCCTGAAACTGAATTTACTCATATGACAGTTCCATTCTTGCTTGCTTTAGTTGTTCAGTGACTAGAAAAAACAACATACTACTTTGTCAGTTCTTATTTACATTTTGTAATTTAAAACCTGAGCTATACTTAGATAGATGATAGTGATGTGTAGTGTACCACTATATTGGAATCTGAGTATCCTCCAAAGGATCATTCTCAACATTTTTGTGTGCACATAAGTATAAATGGAGTGCAGAAATTACATTTTTAATCAATAAACAGATTACACCCCTGCAGTGAGTTATATCTTCTAGATACATTTTGCCTATTCAGCGCATGAAAATATGCAATTTAAAACTACAAATTAAGTGAATTATAAGTCCACTGATCAGATCAGATACAGTTACATTTCTATTATAGTCAGTGTTTGAATGTCATCAGCCTAGTTATACCAATTATTTTAAAACAGTTTTGAAGTAGAGTTATAGTCTGATCTCTCAGACACTGATGTTAATCTAGAGCAACTCATTTTAAGCCATGGGGCTCAGTCCTTTACCACTGTGGTGCATGACAGAGATGGGATAGTAGGCTGTGATTTCCCAATTCTGGGTTTGGCTGGGGGCCAGTTCAAATTTAGTGTAATTTAGAGCACACAATTTAGATGGCCACAATGGCCATCTACCAGCCAGAATTTGCCAGAGTGCAGCATGCTCTCACCACCCCCTATATGGTGGGCTAAGAAGGACATGATAACTGGGAGAATTCCCACCTGATTGTTGAAGCCAGTTATACGGCCACTTTGTACCACTTGAGCCACAAAAGGACTCAGGATTGAGCCAGTGGATTTGCTTGAGATTTACATTAGTGTCAGTGGAATCAGAATCTGTCACAAGATGTTTGTATGCACACAACACAAAGTAAGTGTCATGAGAGTTATCAGAAAGCTAACAGTTATACATTGATTTGGTGAATTAAGAAGTTCTTCCACGTACACTGAACTTGTACAGAGTTGTAGGGCGACCAAGGAAACCATTTTCTATAATTTCCTTTTAAAATCATTTCAACAGCCTTCAAAAGCCCTCTAGGAGTAATTTTTAAAATGTTATTTGTTAATTTTTACAATATAAATAGAGGTCAATGAATAAGATACTTGCATACATACATTATGCACTACTCAATAGATTGACAAAGAGTAAAATATGCACAGGGGAAGGGAGTCTTTTTGTCTTACAAGCACTTAGGAATTATATACACCTACAGACACCAGAGAAATTCTTGAAGATGAAGAGAGTCAGTAGAGTCAAGAATGCTGTGCATTCAGTCAGTATTTGTGTGATCAAAATGAATGAAGTAAACACCTTATTCTATTCTGACAATATGTATTACATCTGAATGACACCCCAGAAATGCATTTGGTTTTTTCAATCTATTTGGAAAAGAGGTAGCATGCTCCTAAAACTAACCTCAAAACAAATGTTCAGGGAAAAGATGTTTTTCTGTTCATCATGATAATTATTCATTACTGGTCATAGATATTGTCAGTGTTTTGTTCTGCAGTGATCTTTGGGTCTGTAGCGGTCTGGCTTTCAGGGCCAGCTCTAACGTTTTTGCCGCCCCAAGCAGCAAAAAAAAAAAAAAGCACTGCCCCGCCGTAACACACCCCCACCGAGTGCCACGCCGCTGAAACCCACCCCCTGCCGCGCTGCCGAACACCCCCCACCCCCCTCCACGCTGCCGAACCGCCCCCGCGCAGAGCGCTGCCGAACCGCCCCCACCCCCC